GGCCAGCGCGGCCAGCGCGGCGCGCGCGCCGCCCGCCGGAAAGCTGCCGCGCAGGGAGAACTTCCAGTCGTACAGGGCGGACAAGATTCAAGAGGAGACGGTCGACGACCGGTCCGAGCTGGAGCGCGTCGACAGCTACGCGACCGACAACGGCTCCGTCTCGGACTGCGCCTCCGGACAGTCCGGCAACCCGCCGGACGCCGCGTCCAGCGTCTCCACGAAATCGTACGACACCTCGCCCACCACCGAATCCTCCTCGAACGCGCTCGACTACAGGCCCTTCTCCTTCTCGTACGCCGGCAAGTCGGACCGCTCGAGGAGCTTCGAGAACAGGCTGCTCGCCGCCGAGAATCTCATCAAGGAGTCGAAACTGCGCAACCTGGGCGCCAACAAGTTCGACCCGAACCTCAGCTCCAACTACCGGGACACCGACAAGTGCGAGAAACAGTCGTTGATTTCCATCGGCGAAACGACCGGCTGCTCGGCGGCGAACCCGAGCAAACGGAGGAGTTGCATACCGAGCCTGCGGCTGCGCTCCGGCTCGCTGTCCAGGGATCCGACCTCGTCCGTGGATCGCCGCAAGTCGTTCGCGGACACTCGCGACCTCGGCTGCGCCGCCGCGCGAGCTCTCACCCCGGAAAAGTCTATTCTCAGCAAAATCTTCAGATCCGCCGGCAACCGGCCGGACAAGGAGGCGGACCAGAAGGAGAAGGACAAGTCGCAAAAGTCGAAGCAGCACAGGATATCGCGGTTTCTGCGACCCGACTTCTTCGACACGCCGAGGGAGGAGAGCAAGTACGCCAAGGAGAAGGAGGAACGGAAAGCGGCGGAGAACGAGAGGCGCAAGTCGCGCTTCATGCGTCGAAAGACCGAGAACAAGGGGCTCGAGGCGACCGCCGTTCAACAGGAGAGCCGAGAGAAGGAGCTGAAGAACGAGATCAACGCCCTGAGGAAGGATCATCGCTCGGCGGACGCTGCGCAGGAGAAGCTGGATAGGGAGGCGGAGGCGGCGGCGCTGCTGCCGCTGCCCAACGAGCATCCGGACGCTGGCCAACGGAAAGTCGAGAGGTACGGTTCGCGCAACAGCTTCTTGCACTCGCTCGAGAAGAAGCTGGAAAGGCTCCGATCGAGCGAAGAGGCGACCGCCACTCTGACCTCGACCCCGACGCAAACTCCGACGGAAAGCCCGACGCAGACTCCGACGCAGTCCCCGACTCCCGTCAGCACTCCGGTCACCACTCCGATCACCACTCCGACCAAACTGTTGGCGAACGGAGGAATCCCCGTAGAATCGCGCGAACGCTCCGCTCCGCCGGGCGAGCATCGCTCGTCCCTAGAGTCGGGTTCCCTCCAGAAAGCGGTCAGCGTGGAAGACGTGACCGCGAGCAAACCTGCCGGACGACCGTCTTCCAAGAGCAAAGTATCGACCGTGCTGGGATTGTTCAGAACCGCGGACGCGTCGAAACAGACGACGGCCGCGAACCGCGGCCAGACCGCGATCCTGAGCAGGCTGAAGAAGAGCCCTCCGCAGTCCGCGAAAGGGGACGCGGCGGCTTCCGGCGAGGACGCGTCCTGCGCGAACGGTACCAGCGGCAACGGCAACGGCAACGGCAACGGCAGCAGGATACCTACCAAACTGACCAAGACCGAGCCCAAGCCGACCAAGAAACCGATCGGAGACGGCAAGAAGCTCGCCGCCGAGAAACTCGGATCCGACGTCGAGTCGCCGAAGCGATCTCCGCCAAAGGAGAAAGTCCCGATCGCGAAAGAGAAGAGGGAGAAGAGCGAAAAGGATCCGAAAAGTTCGAAATCGGCCGACCGAGAGTCCGCGGACGCGACTCGCGGCAAGTCGAACGGCGAAGTGAAGCGGGCCGAGGAGCCCGCCGACAGGAGGACGGACATTCCTCGCGAAGAACCCGCGAGCGGCGGCACGATCGACAAGAAACAGCTCAAGACCAGGAAGAATCGATCGCTGGCGGAGGCCGGCTCGGCCGACGACGCCGACAGAAAGACCGCGCGAAAGACGAGCAAGGGTTCCGAGACCGGAGAGAACGCGGACGGCGACGAAACTAAAAAGAAAAAGGTGGCGCGAACGGTGAAGAAGCTCGCGAAGAAACCGTCCTCCGACGGTGCCGATGGCGCCGACGGCACCGACGACAAACCGGACGAGTCGGGGAAATCCGCGAAACCCCGAACTAAAAAGAAACCGGCCTCCGCCGGCGAATCGTGCTCGGAATCGGCCGTCGCCGCCAAGACCCCTCCGAAATCGAAGGAGAACGGCGTCGAGGTCCAAACGAACGGCAAGTCCTCCGCGCGCTCCAGTCTCGCCGACTCCGTCAAGCTCTCGTCCAAGTCCGATTCCCAGGAATCCGAACACGCCGGGAAGACCATCGGCAAGCCGTGCTCGTCCGCCTCGACGGCCGCGACCACTCCACCGAAGAGACCGAGCGTCGGTAACCTCGGAGCGGAGGAGTCGTCGCCGAACGGTCACCAACCGAAACCGAATCAAGAATTTCAACGCGCGAACAGGAGTAACTTGAAGCTCGACCTGTCCAAGATACCTCAGCACTCGTTCAGAAACACCACGCCGAAGAAGGAGTCGCCGAAATCCGCCTCGCCGGTCGTTTCTGCCGGGGAATCTCAAGATCTTCCCGACAAACTGATGGAATGTCTGTCGAAAGTGACGCATCGCGCTTCCATCACCGGAAACAAGATCGTGATCGACAAACCGCTGCGCGCCAAGGACGTCGCAGAGTTGAAGAGGGAGGTGACCGAGTGCGCCAAGATCCTCGAGAGTCACGCGGAGGTCGACGACCGGGAACCGACGAAAACGCACCACCGGACGGAGTCGCTGGAAAAGAAAGACGAGGAGAAGCGAATCGTCGCGACCTCGACGGCCGCGCCCGTGCAACCGATCGCTCTGGATTCCTCGCACTCGAACGAATCCAAAGAGTCCAAAGAACCCAAAGAACCCAAAGAACCCAAAGAACCCAAAGAATCGACCGAGTCGAAGGCGTCGCCGATGGATTACGCGAGCGAACCGTTCTCGCCGGTCGAAGAGCCCGAGAGCTTCGATTCTTGGTCGGTGAGCTCGGCCGAGCTGAATCACGCTCGAACAGAGGTGCACTCGCCGACGTCCCCGTCGCTCGCTTCGTACGGGAGGACCGATAATTCGGAATCGGTGATCGATCGGATCCGCAGACGGAGCTTTTATTCGCGATTCAACGACAGACGGAGACCGTCGCTGACCGCGCCGCCGCCGGGCCTGGGGCTGTCGGCGAGCGGCGCGTCGTTGCCGCGAAAGTACAGCTTCAGCGGGCACAGGGAGCTTCGGGACCGCGGCAAGTACGGGGCCGCCGGCGCGTACGGCCTCGGGCCGGTCCAGTCGATCGGGTCCAGGCACGGGGATCAACACCGCACCAGGAGCTTCGACCTGTACGCCGACGACGCGGTCGCCGCCACCGTCGCCGCCACCGTCGCCGCGCGAAACCGATCCCTCGAGAGGCCGAGGTACTCCGACGCGGCGGCCGCCTCCTCGTACGCCCCGTCCTCCTCCTCCTCGTCGACGTCGCCGTTCCCGATGGCCCCGTACCCGTACATCGGCGCCGATTCGAGGTCCTCGATCGATCACCTGCCGCCCCTGTCCTCCTCGTACGACCCGCTCCGGCGATACATCAGGTCCCCGACCTTCGA